TGTGTGTAAATGTTTATATATACATAGAGTGAGTTAATAAATATTTATTAAGCACCTACCACGTACCAGACACTGTGCTATCACTGAAGATACACAAAAAGGTAAGAGATGGTCCCTTTTATCAAGGAGCTCAAAACATATATATATACACACACATATACACACCAACATCCTGGATTTCCAATTCTAGATCCCTAGATCTATTGACTTTTCCTACTAGAATATATGTTCCTTGAAGGCAGGTTATTGCTTGCTTGCTTTTATATCCCCAGCACCTAACACAGTACCTAGAACATAGTTAGTGCTTAATAAATGCTTTCTCATTCATGTATTCATTCATATATGAGAACCAGTAGCAAAAATACCTATCATATTAGTGATCAGCTAAGATAAGATAGTGCAGAGCTAGAACGTCTTAGAATTGTGAGGTGAAAATTTTCCTACTTCAGTGCCTGAGGCGCCCTCTACAATTCTACTGTTGAGTGAGTGAGTGTGTGTGTGTGTGTGTGTGTATGTCTATACACGGGTCTCCTTCTGAGTCTCCCTATTTGGGGTGGGCATAAGGAAACTATGCCCTATATTTACATTCTCAGAAAAACAAGAACTCAGTCAATTAAGGGCACCATTAGTCTGCACTAGTATGTAAGTAGTGGCAGATTTGCTGATCAGACTACTATGTTCACTGGCGAAAACTGGCCCCAGGCTCTCTCTTTTACAGAAACGACACCTGGAAAAAATTCGGTATCCTAACAAGCAGGCTGCAACCTCTGCGGGTTTTATTCAAAATTATCTCAATTTCTAAAGAAGATGCTTAATAATCCTATAATTTCTATAGAAATCTGTTTAGTAATATAAAAATTCTACTATGGTATTTAAAAATATTAATGAAGTGATGGTAATGGATATGGAAGCCATATTATAGACCTGCTTTGAGGATGCATTAGAAACATAGAATCATGGTACGAGGGTAAAGATCTCGTTACTGTGAACTTAGATGTGGGATATGACCTAAGAATAACACACAGAACTCAATCAATCAATCAATCAATATTTACTAAGTGCCTACTATGTGCCAGGCACTGTGATAAGCATTAGGGATACAAAAAGAGGCAAAAGATAGCTCCTGCCCTCAAGGACCTTACAATCTAATGGAAAGACAAAATACAAACAAATATATTCAATGCAAACTATATAAAGGATAAATTGGAAATAATTACTAAGATAAGGTCAAAATGGGCACATGATTTAGATATAAAGGATGATAACATAAGTAAATTAGGGGAGAATGGAATAGTTTACCTATAACATTCATTGATGAAGAAAGAAATAGAGATAGAAATAGAAAAGAAAGAGATAGCATTACAGGATGTAAAATGGATAATTCTGATTACATTAAATTAAATGTTTTTGCACAAACAAAGCCAATGAAGCCAAGATTAGAAAAAAAGCAAGAAACTAGGAAAGATTTTTTACAGCAAGGTTCCCTGATAAAAAAATATTTGCAGCAAGTTTTCTCTGATGTTTCTCAAATATGTAGGGAACCGAGTAAAAATTATAAAAAATAAGCACCATTCCCTAATTGATAAATAGTCAAAGGATATGACTAGATAGTTTTCAGAAGAAGAAACCAAAGCTATCTGTAATCATATGAAACAGTGTTCTAAATCATTATTAATTAGAGAAATTCAAATTAAGACAACCCTGAGTTATCACCTCACACTTATCAGATTGGCTAACATGATAGAAAATGAAAATTACAAATGTTAGAGAGGATGTGGAAAAATAGGGACACTAATACACCATTGGTAGAGTCCTGAACCATACAAAAAATCTGGAAAACAATTTGGAACTATACCCAAAGAGCTATCAAATAGTGTATAACATTGGGCCTAGCAATACCACTACCAAGTTAGTATCCACCAGAGATCAAAGGAAAAGAAAAAGGACTCATATGTACAAAAATATTTGTAGCAGTTCTTTTTGTGCAACGGCAAAAAATTGGAAACTGAGGGGATGCCTATCAATTGGGGAATGGCTGAACAAATAGTGGTGTATGATTGTGATGGAAGATTATTGTGCTATAAGAAATGATGAGGTGATTGGTTTAAAAAAAAACCTGGGAAGACCCATATAAATTGATGCAGAGTGAAGTAAGCAAAACCAGGAGATTACTGTACATAGTAACAGCAACATCGTAAGGATGATCAATTGTGAGAGACTTAGCTACTGTGAGCAATACAATGATCCAAGACAATTCTGCCACGACAAAAAATGCTATCCATCTCCAGAGGGAGAAATTATGAACTTTGAGTACAAACTAAAATATAATTTTTCACCTTCTTTTTTTGCTTTTTTGCATCAAGCCTAGTATGGAAATATGTTTTGCACGATGCACACCTACAATTTATATCATATTGCTTGCCTTCTCAATGGATGGGAAAGAATATAGATGGGTTAGAGATTTTGGAACTCAAAAAAAATTTTTTGAGGAATTTTAAAAATAAATAATTTTAAATTTAAAAAAAGAAATGACATATGATAAATACAAAAAAACATGGAAATATCTACATGAACTGATGCAGAGTGAAATAATCAGAGCCAAAAAAAAATACACACAATGACTATGGAGTAAATGAAATTAACACATACAAAAAAATTGAAAGTGAATGTAGCAAAATTATAAAGTTCAACATGACTCAAAAGAAGAGATATGAGAGAACATTCCCATCCTACCTCTTCATGGAGGTGGGAGATCTATAGTTGTTGCACACTGCACAAGTTTGGGGCTTTTTCAATGCATCGATTCTACATCTTTTTCTTTCTTTTTTAAAGTTTCTACAAACTATTAATTGTTATTGGGGATGACTCTTGGGGAGGGAGAGCAGTACTGGGGAAAAGTATAGGATATAAAAAATTAATTAAAATTAAAAAAAAAAGAATTATTTGTTACACATTTCTTATCTTCTCTAATAGACTGCAAGCTCTTGGCCAGCAAGTGCCACTATTTTTTTTTTGGATCCCCCATCCCTACCACAATACCTTCCACATAGTAGTTTTTTTTTACCAATTGTCTGTTTACTTGAACTCATATGAAAGCTACTTTATTCCTTTGAGAAAAGGAAAACCGCTTCATAGTTTCTCCTTTCTCAACTGTGATAATACAATGAGGAGCTTAAATGGATTCCACAGTTTAACAGATATATGAAGCAAACAGAACTTTGACTCTCTTAAAAAATATCACGGATCTTCTTAGTGGAAAATTATATTTCCTTCAAGCTACCAAGTCAAAAAACAAATTGAAGTGTGATTCATACCACAAACCCATGAAATCATGGGTGAGATGGAGTTTTCCTAACCAGTCTGCAAGAGTCAACTGTTAAATTTTCAGTGTGAGCGTATTTACACCTCAGAAATGAACAAATGCTATAAATCATAGCTTAATTTAATGTTTTACTGATTTGTCTAGATTTAAGAAAGTTATGGAGAAAATGTTAATAATGCAAAATAAACTTAAAAGTGTTGCATGTATATTTCTTTTCTTGGCAAGCCTATTGTTAAACATTCACCATATACCTCTGAATAAAATCATTAACTTTTCAATGCATGCAAATGATATGGCATATCAGTGAATTAAACTTCCATGAACATGATGGAACATAGTTATATCTTAGACTGAGCATCTTCCACGTGGTAATAGACAGACTGGCAAAAACACCAGGTATAGGGTCTCTCTTTGAAGCCAAAATATTTTCATATCCAAATGCAGTAAGATATGCATTATTTGACTAAACAAAATCTATAACAGACGTCATTAAACAAAGAATGTTAACAAAAAATGTATAGCATATTTGACCTTTGGATCTCAGATTTTGAAAGAGACCTTAGAATCCATCTAGTTCAAACCATACTTGAACAAGAATTCTTTACAACATACCCAACAAGGTGTCATCCAGTCTTTGTTTGAAGACCTCTAGAGAGGAAGATTCCATCTTCTGCAAGAAGCTTTTCCCAATCCTCCTTAACCTAAATATCTTCCTTCTGTTGTTTGTTTCCAATTTATTCTGTATACATCTTGTTGTACATAGTTATCTGTATATTGTTTTCTCCATTAAACTGCGCATCCTTTGAAAGCAGGGTCTATTTTTTGCTTTTCTTTATAAATCTAGAACTTGGCACAGTGTAGCACATAGTAGGTGATTAATAAATTCTAGCTCACTGACTGACCCCCCCCCCCAAAGTTGCCTGTTTCACTTTTGGATAGCTTTAACTGTTAGGAAATGTTTCCTTTCATTATACTTAAATCTATCTCTTAGTAATTTCCATTCTTATCTTGTAGATCTGTGCTCTGGGATCTTGCAAAAAAAAAAAAAATAAGGCTAATCTCTCTTGCATATGAAAGCCCTTCAAACATTTACAGATAAATGCCATGGATTAATGGTCTACATCTTGTAGAAGTAGATGCAAAGCTTTACTTTTTTAAGAACCCCTGTCCTATGTGGTGCAAATAAACAACATTCCTCTTTTTCTTGCCTCACACTCCCAGTGAGGTCTCCCCTGGCCCAAACACTCTCTGTACTCTTGCCCTGTTTTCCATGTCCAAGTTCCCTTCCTGACTGCAAAGGCACAGAAGCTTCCTCATTATAGTCAGCGATGCAAAAATCCTCTTCCAGTGAAGTGGTGAAGACCCCTTTTCTTACCTAGTTTCCTAATCTTTCATTTTGTCGCACTTACTTCTCCAATAGGACTTAACCTAGCCACCACACATTACCAAGAATACTAAGTTGCTCCCCTCCCTGATTTAAAACCACTCGGAGTATCTGATTCAGGTCTCATCAATACGACAACATCCATAATTGTTGCACTAAAAAGTCGGAAAAATCATTAGTAATATATTCAGTTTATGTTTTGGATTCGTACAGCTCCCTTGCTTAGAGCAACTTTAGTTCTTTTTTCCTTCCTATCACCAAGTTAGCTTCTGAGGGCTCATTTCTTTTATTTACCTCTTTCAGATCCTGAACAATAGCTGTGAGTCTCTCATTCTCAGCTTGAACGTTGGTGACCACGGTCCTGCTCTGCCTCAGCTCATTCTGCATTTCCAGAATCTTCCCCAGGTAGTAGGCCTCCTTTGAAGCGGACTCCTGCAGTAGTGTTTCTTCACGGGTCTCTCCATCCTCAGCTACTTTGCGATGGATGGAAAATGACTGTCCAAACGCCTGAAGAAACAAAATGTATGCAGACAATGAAATATACCATTCGTTCATTTATTACTAAGTATCGACAATACGTAATTCATTGTGCTGAGTGCTGGGGGAGATACAAAAATAAAGAAAGCAAAATCTCTGTCCTCAAAGAGTTTACAATCTAATATAAATGACACATCACGTACCAAGGTAAATGTGATACGAAGATCTACAGCACTTGTATAGACCTGGTGTTGTACCTGGTATCCACCAAATATTAAAATAACAAAAGGAAGGCCTCTAGTTATTTTTGTCCTTCATCTTTTTTTATGAAGAATACACAAGAAGACATGGCAAAAAATGTAATAAATATACAAACTGTAAAACATAATATGACAAGAGATTAAAAGCTGATTAAGTCCCATAGTAAGATAAGGTGAGGCAAAGATAACTTCCCTCTAAGGCGAGAAGGGAAGGTTTCACAGATGGGGTATGATCTGAGATAAATTTTGTAGGATCATAGACTTAGGGGAAAACTTTTCAGTTATCATATGAGAGGATCTTAGATCGAGAGCTGGAAAGCCCTTAGAGGAAATATAGTTGAATTCCCTCATTTTATAGATAAGAATACTGAAGCCCAGTGAGGTTAAGTAACTTGCCCACCATCACTTAGGTTGCCAACATCAGAGATGGGATCTGAACCTGTGTCCTTTGACTCCAGAGTCAGTACTCTTTTAATTTTCATCCTGCTCCTTAGATCTGCATCAGAAGGGGAAGGTTTCATGAATCACCAGACTAGATTCTGGAAGTCAACTTCCATCATAAAAAAGATGAGGGAATACAGGTTCAGAGAGGAATAGAGATTTGCCCAAGATCACAAGATAGAACTAGGATTGAAACCCAGGTCCTCTCCTCCCAATCAAAGGATTATAGATACCAATGTAAAAAACGGTTTAGAGGAGGGAAAATATTGGACATGTTTAGGCAGCAGCAAAAAATCCACTTTGAATTATAGAGTTCATTAGGGCATATGAGATGAACATGCAGAAGTAGATTAGAGAGGCAAGATGTGTTAAAACAAAATTAAGGAATTTTGGTCTCTACTCTGTAGGCATAGAGAAGTCATTTTGGGTTTTGACTAGTATAGTAACATAATCTATATGTTAATAAGACTATTTTGGCACTGATTTTTAGAATGATCTGGAGGAGGGGGAGACAGACTCTAGGAAGACTTGTTAAGAGATTATATTAGCCCAAGATAAAGGTAATTAAGGACTGAACCAGAGCAGACACAGTGGGAATAGTAGGTAGGGGGTAGATGGAAGGGATATTTTGCACAGATCTAATTAACAGGATGCCATAGCATTAGCAAACAGATTGAGGAAATGCTGTTGCACTTTACTAGTTTTTTAATGAAAAAATTTATTCTGAGGACATCTTGAATGAAAATATATGCTATATATTGGTCTTACCATGGGCTGCTCTGGCATATAGGTCACATTTAAAGTGTGCTGGTAAATATTTAACAACCAGCTCTCCAGAGGAAAAAAAACAAATCTGCATCAGAAGCACTTTAAAGTTTAATCTTCATCAATAACATTTTCTTCATTACTTCAAGTCTAGACAATCAATAAAACAATAAGTCAAGCCCTGATTTGCAGCCTCTGATGATTTCTATGGTATAAATGTTTACATTGAAAACTGAACAATACAGCTAGTATGAACTGGCTCTACTTACACCCATGGTCACACTCTTAAAATGAGATCTCTTTGAAAGGAAAACAATAAGAGTCAAAACATAATGACATAAATAGTAAAGTAATAATAAATAATAAAATAAAAATCATTACAGAACATTATCATATTAAAATATTTGTCATTAAAGTTATTTTTTAAATTTATGGATGAAAATGGAAGTAGGCCAACAAACAAGAAAAAGGGAAAAGATATACAGAGATTTTTATAACAAATTGCTTTTATCACTAAGGACTATAGGTCCACCATTTTTTTTAACTCTAACATCACAGTCTCAAATGTGCACATAGTGTTCAATTTGTTTCAAGTCATATAAAGATTTTAATTTATATTTATCTTCACTTCTTTTATATAGAGAGCTTTATGATTCCTAAAGTGCTTTCCTTACAATCCTGTTAAGAAAAGTTGTAGGCCATATCCCGTTTTTCTACAAGCAAAGCTGGAGAAGTATGGCTTATATTCAGACCATATCACAGTTCAGCAATAGCTCTATAAGCAGGGACAGGCGCAATAATCGGATGAAGTCTTCTAGGTTGGGAAGAAAGGAAAAACTGAAATCATAGAGTTTTCATCAAAGAGGCACTAGATGTGTCATGTGGACGATCATGTGCATCACTTTGTGTGTGTGTGTGTGTGTGTGTGTATAAATCTATGATCATGGGATCATAATTCGAGAGCTGGAAGGGATCCCAGAGAACATCTAATTCAAACCCCTCACTTAACAGATAAGAAAATTCAAGCCCAAGTGACTTTCCTACAGTCACATAGGTAGTAAAGCATCAGAAGTTAAGACTTTAACCCAAACCCTGACTCCAGAGCCAGAGGGTTAAAAATAGGAACCAGTAAAAGGATCAAAAAAGATTTTGAGAAGTGAATAAATCCAATTCAATTAAACAACATTTATTATGGCTACTTGGACAAGTCACTAAGCTAGGTATTAGAGATACAAAAAAGAAAAATAAAAACTTGCCCTGTCCCCAAAGGAACTGATATTCCAAGGAAGAATCATTCCCTGCTCTCAAGAAGATTCTACTGGAGGAGACAACATGTACATAAATCAGTAAATAAAAAATACTAAATAAGTATAAGACAAATTTCTTGGGGGAAAAGGCACTAGCACCTGAATGAGGGAGGAGGCAAGAATAAACATGGCACTTGAGTAGAATTTTGAAGGAAAAAAGAATATCAGGAGAGAGTGCCTTCCAGGATGAAGGACAGCCAGTGAAAAGTTGTAATTCCAGTTGTGCCATACATCATAAACAGTAACAAAGGTAGATTAACTGGAATATAAAGTACAGAAAGAAGAATATATAATTAGTTTGGAAAGGTTAGTTAGTTGGGGCTATGTTATAAACAGCTTTCAAAGTCAAGCAGAGAACCTTGTATTTGATCCTAGAGGTAATAGGGAACATAGTTTATTGAGCTGGGCAGTGATGTGATCACTTTATGAAAATCACTTTGGCAAAGAATAATTTGAAAGGGGAGATTCTTGAGGCGGGGAGAATAATTAGGCGGTTATTGCAATAATCAAGATTAATTGGGCCTAAATCAATGTGATGGCCTATTTGAGTAGAGAAGGAGATAGATGCAAGAGATGTTGTGAGGGACTGAAATGATATTTGGCAATTGATTTGATATGTCAGTGAGGGAGAGCAAAGGATCATGTATGACACTAAGGTTTCAAATCATAAGTAAGTTAAAAAGATTTGGGGGTGGCGGTGGGAGTTCAGTTTTGGACATGTTCAGTAGGTAATAGAAGCTGAAGAGATTGAGAAATTGAAAGGTTAATTGAAAGGTTCATATTTTGAAGTAGAATTTGAAATTCTGGGATATTCAGTTTAAACATTCTATTGAACATTAATACTAAAATATATATTAGTATTTGGAGATTAGAACTCAGGAGAGTGAGCAGAAATAGTTACATGGATTTGTGAATCATTAGCATAGTACAAGAAGTAGCAGCAAGGCAGTTTATCAGCTTTCCCTCAGACATAATGCTGAGCCCATCTTGCTTAAAAGAAAGTATCATATCTACTACCAAATGATAACACCAGTAATCTCACCAAATATAGGCCAATCATATGCTTATGTATTTTATACAAAGAATTCACTGTTCATATCACCAAGAAAATATATGCATACGTAAATAAATGCTTGTAAGAAAAAAGATTGGTTTAGGAGCATAAAGCTGTGCAACTTATTAACACTGTGACTATTGACCAAGTTACCTTAAAGCACCATAATATATATAGTATGCTAACTTTGTGGATTACCTCAAAGCTTTTGACTCAATTCCACACTGCTCATTCACATAGTACAAATATAAAAAAATAGAACCCAAAACAGTAAGAACATTGGGTGTCCACATAAAAAATTTCTGTTTAAATAATGCATGGCACCAACAAAATAAAGTCAAGAACAATGAATATAAAATATGGGAAGGCTTAAATCAATTATCATATCTCCTAAATGAAATTAAGCATGGTTTCCAAATGACAGGAGTTGAACTAAAAAAACATTTTGTTAACCATTTAATATAAATGAATGATATCAAGTTATTAAAAAAATTAAACAGTTCCTCATGGAATATTTCTTCAATAATATCAAAATGTCATTTGTAATCCATAAATGAAAAATTCTGAATGTACTTCAAGAAGCAAAAGGCTTCAAGTCTGAATCTGGAGGTCAAAATGAACAAATGGATGAAAGTGATACCTATAAATACTCCAGGCAAGATAAATCACGCAATTAGATATCAAGCTAAATATATTGTTAAATACATTATGAAACTTACTGGCATTCCGAAATCATCACTGATGGGAAGAATATGTTTAAAACAACTAACACCTGTGCAATACTAGGTGGAAGACTTGCAGTCAATAAAACTTGAGTTCAAATGTGGCTTCACACACTTTCTAGTTGTGTGATCCTGAGCAAGTCACTTAACCTCTATATGCCTCAGTTTACTCATCTGTAAAATGGGAATAATAGTATCTTACTTCCCAGAGTTACTGTGAGGATAAAATGAGATAATATTTGTAAAGTGCTTTACAATTCTTATAGGATTACATAAGTACTATTATTATTACCTATCTTAATGAACACTGAAGGAACTATAAAATGTACCATAACTGGTCTTGAAAATACAATTTTTAAAGTCCTATATATTAACAAAACATAAGGTCAATCAACCTAAGTCAGTATTGGAAAGATTAATTCTTCCATGTCAAAATGGAAAATGACGTATTCATAAACATTCTTAGAGCATGACAAGTCAA